CACATTTTCACCATAAATCTACCCCGCGAATCCATTATAGTGTAAAACTCTCACTCTGGTCACTGACGTCAACGCAATTGAAGGTTACGCATTACACTAAAATGCTTGTGACGCGAGCGATGCATCAGTCACACGCGCTGACACCCGCGCTTCCCCCCGCGCACTTCCTTGTTCCGATTCACTACAATACTTCGCGTGGCAATTATAAATAACTTAATCTATTTGATTTTATTTGCCCATCATCTTGTAATTAATAATTATCTAGTTGTAGAAGAAATAGACAACATGAAGTGTTTATAAAGTAATGTACGTTTTGACAGAATTCTGAGTAGCAAAATTAAATAAGTAGAGTTATTTAGTTTTCCTAGAACTTTGTTAGTTTTATGATAGAATTTGTAATTTGAAGAAAAATTAACAACTTATTTTATTTAGTTTATTAAAAATTTAACTAATTATTGACCTTAGTTATTGATTTATTTATTGAGTTATTTATTTTTCCTTCAAAAAATTAGAATTAGTTTGAAGATATGCATTATTCCATCTGAACGACAAAAATGGCTATATTTTTGGAACGGAATTAGATAAGTAAATTCCTGTAAGACTCAAACATGCGTCATGTTTTGGGTTATTTAAAAATAGGGAAAAGACAAAATGGCCAAAAACGAAGTTATTTAGTTTTCCAAATACGGGGACGATATCTGCAAAGACAAACAGCTAACATGACATAATAATCTTTTTCTTCTATCTTTTGGCAAGAAAAACCATTTATTTGTAACGAATGGCGGTGCCCATAGCTCATATAGAGCGATTTACTATGGAATGTTTGAGAGAAGTTCATTCCTGTGGGACTCATTCAAACTTGGGACCTTAGAGGATTAAATATAACCTACTTACCTATTTAAAGGTTAAGGTTACTTCTTCTTCTGCCAATATTTACTTCAAAGAATAAGTTTCTCTGTCTCTTCCGTAAAGGCTAATAATGAATAATATTTTTGCAATGTAAATATTATTATGACGAATCTTCTATAACTGTACAGGGTAAACAAACCTGTCCATGTCAAAATATTTGAAAATATGATACGTCTGAGTGTGGGAGAGCCATGCTTCGGCACGAATGGGCCGGCTTGACCGGAGTGATGCCACGGCCTCACAGAAGACCGACGTGAAACAACGTGGTGTTGTGTTTCGTCGTGTGAGTGAGGTTACCGGAGGCTCAATTACCCCCCCCCCCTTTCCCCAATCCCTGAATCCCCAAAAATCCTCAAATTCCTAATCCAGAAGGCCGGTAACCCACTTGTAACGCCTCTGGTGTTCCAGGTGTACATGGGTGACGCCGATTGCATACCATCGTTTGATCTGTCTGCTTGTTTACTGGCTTATCCCATAAAAAAAACGTATTTGATTACCACATGAGAAAAAAGTTTTATATAGCCTTAAAAATTAATATGATGTATTCACTTTCTTAGTAGCAGTAGTAGATACCTAAATATTTAAAGACGCAATTTTAAAACATAAGGCAATAACATCTCATTGTCACGTTAAGTTCTCATAAGAAAGGTCTCTGAAAATTATTTATTTTTTTGTCAAAGACAATTGAGAATAACTAACAGTGTTTGTACTTTGTAGTACTAAAATAATTATGCATTTTGCAATTATACATTCTCGTGAGAACATAAAAAAGATTGCTTCCCTTGGTCACTTCATCGCAAGATCAAGAGCAGACCTTCTTTCTAAGGTAGACAAAGCGAAATATGGCTCTGTTCGATTTTTAAATGCACATAGTCTCAAATATTGAACTACATCTTTTACTATTATATAAAGCGGAAGAGTTTGTTTTTTGTTTTTTTGTTTGTTTGTTTCAACGCGCTAATCTCCATAACTACAAGTTTGATTTGAATAATTCTTTTTGTGTTGTATAGCGCATTTATCGAAGATGGCTATAGGCTATAAATCATCACGCTACGATCAATAGGAGCTGAGCAGAGCGTGTGAAACCGCGCGGAAGTAGCTAGTACTATATATAAGGTCATAAGTTCGCTCTATACTTGCTTGAGATACACACCGGCCGTATAAGTTCCATGACAAATGTCAAAGACTGTCTAGTAAGCACCCCTTGGTCCTCGCATTAAATATTATGATTAAAATGTATGATTCTCATGAGAACAAAATTACTATCGACTCCTAAAAGATACCTAAGACTCGTATAAACAAATAATAAATTCACATAACGTTCCTAACATGTCTGTCTTGGCGTGAGGGTATCGTTCTTGCGTGCAAATCGTTTTTATCTGACAATAATTATAGCGAACAGTGTTCTTACTCGTAGACTGGCCCGTCCGCTGTAATTACTGTAAAAGTAAACATACATAAAAGATGTAGCTAGATATTTATAAGAGAATAGAATGTGCTGTATCATATCAACAACATATAAATGCCTATAAAGTGTGAGAAGGCTTTACCTCTTCTGAGCAAAGCTTTCTCACACTAACACTTCTTTGGCGAAAACTAATCGAACTCCTTTTTATTTTGCTGAAAGAGAAAAGAGTGAAAGAGAGTTAGTTTCAGGATTTAATATTGAATATAGAACTGGGATTAGCTTTAATATTTTTAGCTGAATATTCTAGAATTTCATTTATAAGATTGTTATTTGTTTTACATTTATATTTTTTTTAGATTAAGAAATATTTTTTATTCAAAGTTATTATTTATTCTTCTTTCTCTTCTTTATAAAGAAGCCAACATATTTGTTGAAATTTATGTATTGACTGTGATTGAGTTACTGTCACCGAGGTGTTGACCTCGGTGACAGTAACTCGTCAATACATAAGTTTTATATTACTGTAGTTTTGCAATTCAATTTTTCTTTTGTCATGTTGTGCCATCTGTTAGATAGGACAACAAAAGCAACTGTCGAAAAGTCTAGATCAAATACACAAATAAAACACAATTTTGCGAATCGTAATTTTTCATACTAGAAGTCACATTAAGTAAAAATATTTTTGACGAGCCAAATCATCTTAGTCTGAATTTCTCCGTGTATTTTGTCTGAGTAAAAACACCGTTTTAACACACCTATAAACTTCAATAATGAGCCAGCCCTTACATTTTAGCGACTGAGATCCTCTCGAATGCCTTATTGAAGCAGTTTTATACATCAAGGTCTGCAGGTCCCTTAGTCCACATTTTATATTTAATATATTAAAATTATATGAGATTCGAGCTACTGTGAGCCAGTGTGAGTACATTTTATAGCCTCATCCATCAAGCTGGTATTCAGTTAGGCGTAGAAGGCATAAATGTACAATATATGACGTTTAAACAGGGCCGTACTGTGATTCTGTTCGTTGTAGCATTTTAGTACCGCGGTTCACTCAATTAACTATGTATTGCAAAGAAGTTTTTTGACAATTTTTTCTAATGACTTATGAACTATTCATGTATTACGTATAGAAAAAATTACGATTTGTGCAACGATACAGTAATCAGTTGATCTTGCCTTATTATTTCAGTCAACTTTAGAAAGCTCAGCCTTTCACATAAGTTCTATTTTACTAAAGTAAAATGTAATCCGACTCTGTACTCAAACCGTCAAAAACACCGAGCATTTAAACAATTTATAGACTAAAGGTATGACGCTACAATTAATTGAAGATAAACCGAGATTTGTAAGGAAGATCAATTAACGCAACGGTTCTAGGTATCTTACTTACTTAATTAATAATTTGGATGGCTTTTACTCAATAAAAGCGGCTTCATTTCAATTTAATAAATCTTAGGATGAAGCTATTACTTTCACGTAACAATTTCATTTTAGTTTTAATAGATTTACTTTATATTAATTAAAGATTTACAAAGGACATTGAACCTGAACAATATTAATTTCTGTCTATCGGCATTTGTTAACTAAAGTACAAGAAAATTGAAAGTTAAATAATTATAAATCGTTTGAACACAAGAAACCATTAAAACACGGTAATTTTGTGTATATAAAATAGTAAACAGCTTTAACGTGTATTAGTGAACAGTTTAAGATTCTGTATAATAACTATAGTGAGACATACTAAATTAAGTAAAAATCGCGGGTTACTTATGTTTTTTTTTACTAGGTTCAAAATCAGACAGCAAAAAGCTCAATGCAGCTATTAGAAAGAGTGCAGTGTGACCAGCGTGTTGCAAATAGCGCAAGGGGATGACTATAGTATCGATCTGTCTGAAGCGGCCTACATAGTCTGTCTCGGACAGGAAACCCTGCATTCAGGGAGTGTCTCAAAATGGTGCACTCCACAAGTGGCCGTGTTTTTCTTTCATTTTACGACTAGACAACGTTTTAGAGCTTTAACCAGACTTAGTAGACAATTTTCAGACTCCTACAGAAGATTTAGTGAAAGTTGATGCATTTTAGCAATTACGCATGTAAGTTCTGCGTGCAGTAGGTATTGTGCGTAGGTCGCTTTATCTTATACGTCGATCATTTCAAGTGTACCACGTGTAATCAAGTAGGTGATTTACAATGACGTAGGTAAAACCATTAGCTTTACCCATGAATTTTAGGTAAACAGGAAAATAAAAGACAAAACATAATTATCTAAAATTATATTGACTAAAACATCTCATTTCATAGACAGTCGTGTGAGTCCTGGCAACACAGTATCTTCAAAATATCTGATAAATAATGCAAATGTACTTAGCCTTAAAAACAGAAATGTTGAAATAAATACCAAGTGTATTTACTGAGAAATGTCTCGTTCCATTCAAGTGGATTTGATTACGCTCAATGAAAAATTCATATCGGATTCAATATTGCTCTTCTAATCCCTGAGCTATGGATACTTATTTTGTATTTTTCTTGTCTGTTTTTCTTCTATAACGTCTTCACATTTTGAGATTACTTACTTCATCACATTGTTCTGTAGTTTTGTTAAAATATTGCAACAAATCTTATAAATTATTTTACTTAATCATATTACATAAGATTGTTATAATTTACCTAAGCCAGGGCATCAATTGTCATCATTGTCATCGTCATCATTATCTTTTGCCGGTTTCTTGCTCTTCCCTTTACCTTGAGTCGTAACAACAGGGTTGTTGTAAGGAACAGGAATGGGGTAAGGTACCGGTATATTGTTAGGTTTTGGACAGCAACAACATCCATTATTTCCGCGACCTCCATCAAAAAGGGACAAGAAGAGAATTGGAAGAATACTCTTCAATGAAGATTTAGACTTTTCCATCACGATGAGAGGACTAGGAGGCATTCCACAAGGAGAACTGTCATATGTAGACATACAAGGTGGTTGAGGTAGAATAGTTGCGACAGGCTCCGGGGCAGGCACGTTGATTTGCAAAATCACAGACTTATTCGAATTCATTTCGTTAGATGGAATAGTATAGTTAGTGGTTTTAGTCTCTACTGTCTGAGGGTATCTATCCGGAAAATATTTTGTTTGTAAGGTTTCTTGTACAATTGTTTGAGGGTTCGATGGCTTAGGGGGGAAAGGCGGGTACCGAGGTGGAGTTGGGGGCTGAGGAGGACTTTCGACCTTCTCTGGTTCTGGCTTCGTTGGTGGATTTGATATTTCAACAGTAGTTGTATATGCTGGATAGGTTTCGTAATAGTTAGGCCTTACAACAGTCGGTGGTGGGTAAGGTCCATATGAATATACCTTAGGTGCTGGTGGGTCTGGTAGGAATCTGTTGGTTGATGTTATCGATAACACGGAATTAGGGGGAGGTGGTGGTCCTTGAGGCTGATTGATGTACTCTGTGGTGATTGTCTCCACAGATACACCGGCAACAAAGCGAAAGTCATTCTGCAAAGACACAAAAACACAATATTAAAAATGTTTTGGACAAGAGAAATTATGAAGTGTAACATTTAGCATACTCACGTCTAAAAATAATAGGAGTACGAAGCAGAGTGTCCGCCGCTGAAGAGACATTTTGAATAATTATTTTTACAAGGAATAAGTTTACTTAATATACCATGTTTGCATTGTGATACGCATACGATAACACCTAACTTGCTACATACATGATTGCATTCCTTTTTTTCGTAAAAATATAGTACAATTTCGTCATGTTCAACTATTTATTTTGTAATAAATTCATTGCTGCAAAACCTATATAGTTGGTATGTATTGTCAATAAAGTATTTACGAGCAAAAGTTCGTGTTTTATATAAAATTAAAAGAAAATATTGCCAGTAAAAACACTGTGGTCGCGTATGTCATCCATTTAATCTACTCAATTACTCTTTCACTCGCAACTTCGCTTGTTAAACTTTTGCGCCCAATTTAAAGTTGATGCCGTTGCAATGTCGATTTTATCAGAAATTATTGCAAAATATTTTTACATTCTGACAACTTTTGTGTTAATTAAGATTTTTCTTGTTACAGGTGAGCCAAGAGCATAATCAAGAAAGTGATTTGACACGTTGCAGTCGCGTCACTGGTTTGTCATATCCATTCTTATAACTGCCTGGTTATCATAATCGATAAGACTATTCTAAACCTTGTATATGTTAAAGTCAACAGCTGAATCCATATAAACCCGTAAATCTTTTAGCATTCACCAATTCTTTTACGGTTTCGGAAAGCCAGATATACCAACGGATATGTATAATAGGAGATTTATTGGGTGGCGACGCCCAAGTTTTCCGAAAACAGCAAACTTCGGTAGATCTGACAATGAGGTTTTGCCAAAAACAGTTGTTTAATACCAAAAAAAATATCTTCGTGGGTGGTTAACGAATCTTTAAAGGGACATATCGCATAATCGTAAATATCGATTCAATTTCCCCTTAAAATTTGGTCATTTTATACAATTTACGTTCGTCCAAAAGAATCTTTCGCGAGACCTACCGAGTGACGAATGTTCCAATTTTACATACAATGAGTTTTTTTTATATAAATAAATCTTTTGCGGTCGACCTACGTCATTGTTTATAGTTGAATTTGTGCCGAAGAAATCTGAATCAAGAGAAGAGATTTATTTATCGTCTGGCTAGTGTTGTACCGCAGACTAAGACTACACCTTGAGTTATGTAATGTAATATTTTTCAATATGATAACAATTGCGTGTTGCCAGATAAAAGTGCATTCGATAATAATGTATTACGTAACATCCCTCAACGAGTCAATTAATTATCGCGTCATACAAATATTTACGCATTCCATTCCCATCGATTCTACTTTATTGGCCAACGAGCAGTTGGATGATAGTAACAGGATGGTTTCTGGTAATTCGTTAATTTTCTTTAAAAACTTCACCTCTAGCACGTGCGAGTTCCGCATTTTCTTTGATGATTGTTGGGGTGTATTCCGAACGTCATCGTCTATTTGTAACGGAAATGTATATCCGGCTGTTGTAGTTTTATAGTCCCCAGCGAACCTTGTACGGTGTCGCGAAGATATACCTAGTATGAAATATGGCACTTGTGACTGCTTTTGATAGCTTTGTATCACGGTAGCGAAGATAGAGGTACTCAACGTCTTTATTTCATGTTCCGTTGTGGCATTTCGTGATTCTCTAAATGGTTTGTTTTGGTGGGCGCCATCGAATTATGATTATGAAATATGGCTTTATTAAAATTAAATTATTTGAGTTACATCATCCGTTTCGTGTATCACGTCCTTGAATTTATGTGTCTTAAATAAAAATAAGATATCAACGCCCAGAATGGATGATATCTCGAAATTAAAACCGCTGACGGATTTGTCGTTCGAAAATTTTTTTTGAGATTACAACTTCTTTCGTCCAAGTCATCAGCTATAATGTTAGAACCCTTCGTCTGTCCGTAAATAGCCATTTGTTAGAGGAAGTCGTGTGTAAGGAAGTTTGTTATTCGTAGAGATACGGAGCGCCTGTTAACGACGTCCGTCGGTTATCGGTCGCGGCGTGATTGATGTCACTTTTTGTTCCACACGTAATGGGTAGCAGTTAGTATAGAAATTATTACTTAGTTCCTAATGAAGTGTACTTACTGACTTGTAATGTTTGTAGAAATTGGAAATCGTTCCGTAATAGGTGAATGTAGGAAGAGTAAATTGTGTTAGGGTCATTATTTGGAAATCGGTGCTGTGAACGTAATAGATAAATAACTTTTTGTCTTTATATTGTGCCTGGTCCGGTATTGGTGTGACCGCTTGATCCATGATCATAAGGTAGACGCCGAGCACGACATGAGGTTTGATAAGTATGATTAAGAAACGATACAGGACTTTGTTCAGTACATATAACCATGAATACACCAGAACACTGATTTCTGGCGCGTCCCAGGGACATGAATTGGGTAGTTTCCAGGGTATCAAAATTAAAAATCTAATTAGTCCGTCAGTTAGATAATGAAAAAATATTAGACACGTATTTTTTATCTTCTCGTATTAAGTTGCAATACTTAGGAAAAATGGCGCTAAGTTTAGGAGTAAGAGGTTATTACGTCATAACGTGCTACAAAATGTGGCACGCTATGACGTCACACGATATTTCAAATTAATATATCGTCGAAAGTATCTAATTTAGTGAGAAAAGAAAAAATACGTGTCTAAAGTTTTAAATTAATGTACCAGACGGACATTATTTAAAACTTTTTAATTTAAAATAGAATTTAGGGAACTACCCTATTGTTTTGGGACATATGTCCTACGTGTCAATGTGTGTGTGTTCTGCGTGTAAGTCTATAGTAGCCAGGTGCCACAGTCGTTATTTCAAAAGACTATGTCCGCGATTTTTCAACGCCTTGATATTCCCAAAAACTTCTGACTGTTTAAACGAAGTAGCTTGAATAGCTATCTGTATCTTTATGTAACTTGGAACTCGCTACTTTTGCTACTGATCTTTACGAGGACAAATGGTTCATTAGCGAGCTCAAATACTAGAATTATAAAGTGGAGCAACAGCCTTATGAAAAAAATGCTTAAAATGGGACTTACCTAGTTTTTGAGACTTTAACAAGACCGTGTATTGTAGGAATTTTTATGTATAAATTATAAATAATTTTTATTCTGCAAAATGCAAGTCTAATTACAAAATAGACGTCTTTTAAAAACAGATTTATAAAACATACGGCGTTTCATATCTGATTAGTCAGTGATTACTGAAAGATTTTTTGTCTCAATTGCATAAAAATTCTACCTATACTAATATATCAAACTGAAGAGTGTGTATGTTCGGTTCGATTTGAATAATTCTTATTGAGTTTGTATAGAGCATTTATCGAGAAAAGTTTTAGGTTATAAAACATCACGCTGTGATCAAAAGAAGCTGAGCAGGAGTAGCTAGTGTTACATAAAACTGCTGAATAAATTCTAGTCTGTAAAGAAGTTTTAGTTAAAACAAAAATATTCCCAACCATAGCATTGAACTCTGAATTGTATGCTTAATAATCTTGCTTGCATCCATCAGACAGTAGAATGTTATTCTACATACATCCAGACGGTAATATAAGAGATTTCTTCAACAATACCATCGTGTTTGCTCGTACAGAACCTTATTAAGCTTTTAATAAATGTGGTCTTTGGATACGGAGAGAGAACCGTTAGCTAGAGGGTAATTGGCACTGTCCAGTTGTAGTACAGAAAGCAAACTTATAATAGGTATCAGTTATCAGTTTGATATCATATTGTTTAATTATGTTTTTGTCCACTTGACAACATCACGCCTTATATCCCCGAAGGAGTAGGCAGAGGTGCACGTTATGCCACTGTACAATGTAACACCCACTTTTCATTATTTATGTTTTGAGTCCCATGTAATAGGGGGAGGTTCTATTGCCATATACCGGGAATTCCAGACTCCTTGCTACTACTGAGAATTTTTTTAAACCCAGTAATACTTTGCCCGACCCGGGAATCGAACCCGAGACCCCTTGCCCGGCAGTCGCACTTGCGACCACTCGGCCAACGAGGTAGTCAACTTGATTTGCATTTTAATATTAGAACTTTCGTGAGACATACTAAATTAATTATTATGTTTTCGGCTTTCTCACGTAACTGTAGTAGCGCGACAGTCGCCGTGTCGCGTGACGCGAAATGCTGCTCATGAATATGAGCCTCTAGCATGGCTTGAAAGTAGTCGAGGTTCGTGAAAACAGTTGCGTGATTAAGCCGAAAACATAATAATTAATTTGATTTCTATTCGTTGACGTTTCAAAAGTACCAAAGTATATAATAATATATAAACTTATCTTACAAATTAAGATTGCAATATTTCTTTGCTACCGGTAAAATCGTAACAGTCGACTTTTGCTTTGTAAGATATTCAATTCTAGAGCTAAGTATTATTATATTCTTGGCATCTTATCATCTATGCTAAGCTTTTTCCTTTCCTTTGAATTTTTGTATTCACTGTATTTCCGTAAATTTAAAATGAGTTCTCACTTTAAATTCCTAACTTTTATTAAAACTTAACTCAATTTAGCCACCCTCTAGCTAAACTAACATTTAAAAATAAACCATATAGACACTGACTATTCTCTATACATACATATGGATTCCTAGTTAGATTTTAGTGCCTAAATTCGTATGGCAAGCTGCCAGTTCTAGCCTACGAGTTAGTGGGTGTCAATCGACACCATAATTTTCTATACCGCAACGTTTTCGATAGCTGACTTAGTCAATAATTCATGTGGTGATTTCTTTATGTGATAGTCACTTGTTCTTTTTATTTTTTTTATTGGTATCTGCTCTAGTTTTTGTTTCTAGGTATCGTTGGTACGTGGGAGTATTATGTTGGAATATAGATTATAGATTTTATGTTTAATGGTTAATGTTTTAGAATTTAATTTTGAACTGCACACGTCGTGTCTATTATTTTTGTTTTTCATTGAAGTGTTATATAGAGGAGAGTTGATAGTGTAAATGGATAGAGTGACTTGCTAGTCTTTCGCATTTATCCTTATGAAAGTTATCGCGAGTGGCTCTATTTAAGACACCTGTTAGAAATAAATAAAAGATACGTGCTCCATCGTAGACCGCATCAACGCTTACCACCAGGCGAGATAGTGGTCAAACGTCGCCCCATCAAATATAAAAAAAGAGATTAAAAAACGTAACTAAACTCAAAATCGACTGAACGGTTGCTGCGTTGGCTGGGCAACTGGCTGCCGCGCAACGTGTCGCAGGTTCGATTCCTACACAGAACAACTCTTTGTGTGATTCACAGATTGTTGTTCCGGGTCTGGATGTGATGTGTATGTAAATGTTTAAAAAAAACTTTAATCCAAGCCTATCGACACTTCTTCTGCAATTTACTATTATTATGCAGTTTTTAATGACTGCAAAAAACAGCGAATACATTACTAAATCACAAATAAATCGAAATTATGACGTAGCAAATGATATCACAAGAGCTCTCATTGTAAAACGTCAATGACTGCACTTTTTATGCACACTTGACATTTTCGCGACACATAGGTACCTATGTCAGTTGTCAGTGAATTAGTGTAAGCTGATTGATGACTCTCGAACGAACGGGTGAAAAGGCTTTGATCTTATAGATCTTTTGAGGTTACATTGAGGGGGACTTGACATGGATGGGACTAGCGTACTACTATTTGGGTATCCCCTTATAGTCTGTTACAATAATCAAACCCAAGGCTCCTTGCCTGGCAGTCGCACTTGCGACCACTGGGCCAACGAGGCAGTCTTTTAATACACTCTTAATTCTATTTCGACTATCTTAATGAAACGTTAAAATCTATTGGACTATTGTCTTAAACTGTCAAGCACCAAGCGGTCACCGGTGACCGCGACCTATTGTTCTTTAATTGTGTCTATAAAACCGGTACTCGACGAGTTAAATATAGATTTCTCCACAAGAACGAAGTAGTTTATTATTTACTAGCTTTTACCCGCGGCTTCGCTCACGTCACAAAAGGATAAAAAGTAGCCTATGTGACATATACCAATACACACAGCGCCATCTATACCAATACTTTTGTTTTGCCTCGGGAATATCAAATTTTTCCGGGTTAAAAAGTACCCTATTATTTAATCCGGACTTCTAACTTTACGTCTGCAAAAATTCAAAGCAATCGGTTTAGTAGTTATGGCGTGAAAGTGGAACAAACAAACAAACAAACAAACTCACTTTCCCATTTATAGTATTAGTAAGGACTAGTAAGGATTGTAAGAAATAATTGAATGTTGCGTCAATCGTTACAATAATTGTTTTGCTTTCGATATAATTATAAGCTTTCTCAGTCTTATGTACAATTTTGTTGTCAACTACTTTTCTAAGCTGTCGATTGAGTGATTAATGTATTGAAATGTCTACTTATACCTATTCTGCTCTA